CCTTTCCCCTCCCTTCCCTTCCCCCTCTCTTCCCCTCCCCTCTCCTCCCCTCCCCTCCACTTCCCTCCCCTCCTCTTCCCCTGCCTTCCCTTCCTTTCCCTTCCCTTCCTGGTATTGGGGATTGAAATTTGGGCTTCCTTTTTGCCTAGCAAGCACTGTACCACTTGCACGACGAACCCAGCCCTACGGTTTTGTATTTTGGCTTTTGAGTCCGGTTCTCCTTAACTTTGTTAGAACCAGCCTCAAACTGGAGAGCCTCCTGTCTCTGCCTCCTGAGTAGCTAGGATTTCAGGCATGGCCACCTTGCCTGGTCTCAATGAGGGACGACTTCTCTCCCTCTTCATGGCCTCAGTGTAGCCGTGCAGATGACGAGGTGTGCTGCAGGGAGTCCCAAGGAACCCCAGCTTCCTTTCTTGGAAGACAGAAGATTTTTTTTTTTCTCGTGGCTAGACACGTGCCAAGTTTTCTTCTACTTTCGGAATCAAGCCCTGTTTCTAGGGCAGGTCTAGAGTTTGCAGAAGGGAGACTTGGGTATTCCGCCAGCCCACGCTCCTTCTAGAACTTACATTCTCCGGACCTTCTCTCCCTGTTTTCCTCTCTCACCTGTAATGGAGTGAGTCACCACTGGGCTAAAAGCAGGCCCTCGGCCCTTCTGCCGGAGTTCCTGTTTCTTTCTAGTCTTCCATCCCCCAACAGCCTAATTGTTCTGGGAGGGGAATCTATGTTTTTTTTTTTTTCTGTTTTATGGATTCAGTTTCACCCCAATCTCCTTATGGGTGCTAATTAGGTGTCATCAAGTTTCTTCTTGAAGGTAAGTTTGTAAATGCAAATTGAATTTGCATTTGTACCACAAAGTGTAGAGTAATAACCATCCCACAAATTAAAGGGCACTCGGATTGCATTGATTATTTGGGGGAGAGGTGGGAGGGGACCGCAGCCAGCAGAGTTAGAGAGTGGGATGGGGCCTTGGGCATTGGAGAGTGCTCCCAAGGAGATGCACCGTGAGAATCAAGGCCTCTGACAACCTGCAGGTGATAAAGTCACAGCCTTTACCTCTTCTGCTGGACAGATGTTGCACCTACCGCGGGAAAGTAAAAATTTTCACCATTGAACCAGCACCAGTGGCTCATGCCTGTCATCCTAGCTACTCAGGAGGCTGAGATCTGAGGGTTGAGGTTCAAAGCCAGGTCCAGTTAACCACCAAAAAAACAAGAGCCAGAAGTGGAGCTGTGGTTCAAGTGGTAGAGCACCAGTCTTGAGCAAAAAAAGCTAAGGGTGAGCTCCCTTGCCCTGAGTTCAGGCTCCATTATGGGCACCTGCGAGTACACACACACACACACACACACACACACACACACACACACAAATCTCTATATATCGACATGTACCATCACAACAAAAAGATCACAACAAAAAGCAGTGAACTAGACAAAGTTGTGTTTCCTCTAGATGACATCACAACAAAGCCTGCTCTTCCTTCCAAGTTCCAGGATGGTTGTCCTCACTCACTTGCCCAGGGAAGCCCAGGGAAGCCCATTGTTTGGCTGGCTCCATCCTGCACCCTCCATGAGCAGCTCTCTGTGGTCTGTACTCTTGCTAAGCAATTCCTTCCAGTCTGTTCCTTTAAAAATAAATAAATAAATAAAGGCAATGGGGACCTTCTGCTCCTGGCTGCTCCTGGTGGTATGCCAGCACTGGGGCTTGAACTCAGGGCCTGGACACTGTCGCTTAGCTTTTTTGCTCAAGGCTGGTACTACGAATTGAGCCAAAGCTCCACTTCTAGCTTCTGGTGGTTGATTGGAGATGAAAGTCTTAACGGACTTTCTTGCCTGGGCTGCCTTCGAACTGCAGTCCTTTGCTCTCAGCCTCTTGAGTAGCTGGGATTAAAGGTGTGAGCTGTGGGGCCTAGGATCTAGAGTCCAGATGTGGGGTCCTGCCCCCATCTGGCCCTGCCTCTCCTGAGCTGCCCTCATCCCCCCACAGGCCCACCCGGCTGGGTGCTAGAAATGTTCTGTTTCCAGAGTAACAGCCTGACAGCCCAAGGATATTTCTTTCCTTCCTGCCCCACCCCTCCCTCAAATTACCGGCTCCCAGAGCCTCGCAGTTGGAAGGTGCCTTGGAGGTCATGGCGTTCCTCTCCACTTGGAGTCTGACTATCTCAGCCGCTTAGCTGCACCTGCTGCACGTGGCCCACTGCAGGGAACTCTCTGTCTCCTCAGGCAGCCAACGTCACATAGGGAATGCCTCATGTGCTAGAAACTTCTTTCTTTCCCTTGTCTTCTTCTGGCTTGTGCATGATGATACCATTTATCCATGAAGTCAGCATAGGTCGAGCGCTTGCTACACTCCAGGCTGGGTGTGTGCTAGGCGGGTAAGCAGAGGA